TCCATCATATTTTATAGGGCCAAGAAGCCATTTATCATGTATCGCGCATGTAACAAAAGGCATATGAAACACTTTTAGTCTGAGCTCCAACCAATCCGCGGGGCTGGCACGTGCCATAAAACGCGGCGCGGCATTGCCAATAAAGCCTGAGATACGCTCGGCGCGATAATAAACATGCTAATGGCCATTAAGAGGCTAATTTGAATTGAAAATACTTAATACTTAATAGAAATACTAACGTACATATTGTGGCTTTACCTAATAGGATATGACCGTGTAAATGCATAATTAAAATACTTAAACTTTAACTAAATCAAATGCAGACACATCCAGACACACAAGCCCACCGTGAAATTTTCGCTTAAATAGTGCATTAGAAGCAATTTATTTGCTTAAACGCCTGGAAAAAGTGCGTTTTAAATAATTGAATGCAGTGCATAATGGAGCCCTGTCTGTCCGAAGATTTAATTACGGTAATTGTCTAAAAATGCTATTTAATGTTTGCAGAGCCAAAATTACATGCAATTATGTCAGGAGCATCGCTTAGACAAAAAAGTCTTTCATGGACAACAAAATTAAATAATGTATACAACAAATCTAAATATATATACATTAAATGGGAAGGAAAATATTCTAAATGGGTTAAAAATAATCGATCAATTAATTAAAATTGTATAAGTTTAAAAACTAGAATCTTCACATCTCTGCTAACCTAAAATAACATATAGTACATTTTAAAATAATAAAAGGATGTGTCAGAAGAGGGGCTTTCGAGCCCACGCCTACAGAGACTACCCGAACGCCGATGATGACGTCGCCAGCGAAAACAACTACAACAATGACGATGACGATGATGACGATGATGATGATGATGATGAGGAGTTTCTGGCGAGAAGCAATAACAGCAAACAGGCATTTTCACACCCAAGCAGCGTAGCATGTCTGGCAGCTATTTATAGATTCTCTCCATCTTTCCTTCCCCCTCTCTTGGACTCATTCCAAAAGCTCGCGTGTGTGCTTTTTTGTTCGAAGGCAAGTGCATACTCTTAGGCTCAACTAATGGGAAATCAAATGCAGCTGAAAGTTGATCGAATCGCTCGCAATCTGGCTCTCTAATTACTTGCCATTTGGGAGATGACTTTTCCTTTACATTAATCCAGCCGAGAGGCTGATGCGGGAGTGGAGTGAAGAGCCGTCAGACAAAGAGCAACTTTGGACGAGTCAATTCAATTTCAATTTATCAAATGCTTCAGCAATTTCTCTAATTGAATTTCGTTTCATTTGGCGGAGCATAATTTATAAAATATAACATTTCAATGCCGGCCAGGACAAAAGGCGTCCTACATCGAAAACCCGCCTCTTATTGATGCCATTCACTCAGCCCCAAAGAGCGCCCGGCTCTAATCTATTGTAAGGATGCCGAGCCCTGGCAGCCATCCGCCGGAACGTAATCATTTTGAGCGCATTCCGATAAGTTTGCTTATAAATCACAAATGTCCGAAGGCCGGGAAAGAGCAGAGCCCCAGAGGAGCGGTAGCTGTGGCGTCCTTGGACTCCCTTGGGCGAAGGCTTTTAAATCGATGAGCACGTCGCAGAATTGACAATAATATTTTTTAAATAATTTTATTATTTCATTCAGCCGGTCATTCATGCAGACACTCAAGGAAAGGAAGGAGGGCAGTCCGTCCATGTCCGTGAGCATCGACGGAGCTGCCTTGGACTCGGTCATGCGTGAATGTAAACGCAGCTTGAACCCACTCGAGGGGCAGTAATACAAATTTGAGCATTTCTTTCTCCTCTTTAATTAAACGAACAAAACTGAAATCTAATTATGTTTGTCTTTCCATTTCGCATCCGCATTCAAAGGCGGGGCCACCGTTGGTCGTACTGCCCGATGACGTAGGTCAGCTTCTTGATGGCCAGCTCCACCTGCTCGTCGTCCACCTGATGGTAGAGCACCACTCGGGCAAAGGCCCAGTCCCGAGCACTGGCCTTCAGGATAATACCAGAGCCATCCTTATCCGTAACTCCAGTCTCCAGCTCCTGGTGCTCGACCTGGGCCAGGCGTTCGCCAAACTCACTGGCCGTCAGCTCGGATCGCTTGATCTCAATTAAGAGAATGTTGCTCTGAACTGTGTCCAGATCCACTGTGATATTGGGACTCTGTAGGTGATGTATGGCTGACGGGACAGTTCGTTAGTAAATGGATGGAAATACTGTCCCAAAGTGGATAGTTACCATTTGCGATTCGCTTTGTGCGCTCATGATCCTTGCCGAGCAGTGGCACCACCTCCTCTAGAGCCACCAGGCCAGCAGCAGCTAATATGCCTGCCTGACGCATGCCCCCACCCAAAGCCTTGCGCAAACGACGGGCTCTAGGAGAAACCAGAAATGGAGACACAGAGAAAGGATTAGCTGGCATCGAAAGGGATTTTGAGAGAGTGAGGAAACCCACTGCGAAATGAACCGCTGGGAGCCGACGAGCACAGAGCCCACCGGTGCGGACAAGCCCTTGCTGAAGCAAATGGAAACCGAGTCAAAGTCCCGACAGATGCGCGCCACACTGACGCCCAGGGCGGCAGCTGCATTGAACACCCGAGCCCCGTCCATGTGCAGTGCGATGGGTGCACAGCCCACTCCGGGCTGGCGCAAGAGATTGGCCAGCTCGTCGAGAAAGGCCAGAGGAATCACCTTGCCGCCGCAGATGTTGTGCGTGTTCTCCACCACCACCAGCGAGGTGATGGGCTCGTGGTAGTCGTCGTGACGGATCCGGCGTCGCAGCTCCGCCAGGGAGAAGGTGCCATCGGGCTCGTTCTTGAGCGTAGCTAATTGCACGCCAGCCAGGTGTGAGGCTCCGCCTAAATGTGATTAATGAATGCACACAGTCAATGTTTGTTCTCTGCTCCTCTGCGGTGTCCTGGTCTCACCTTGCTCGTACAGAAAGACGTGCGATAAATCGCCGACAAGGGCCTCCGTGCCGCGCTTGTGGCAATGAACCATAACTGTGGGGATTACAAAAGAGATGCTCGAGAATTCACTTAACTGGCGAGGGGCGGTAATTGAACTGCCTTAAATATTCATGCAGATGCCCCCAAAAACAATTCATTTAAGAGCCTCTATAATTGATAAACTCTGTGCTGCTTGATGTGTCAATATTAAAATATAAAAGGAACTGCACATTTATGTTGTAACGTGTTATTCTAGCTTGTATAATATATGATCAGCTAAGAGGAAATCTGGAGTCAGTAAAAATGCTTTAAACAAGGCCTCAAAACTATAAGAGATGACTCCAAAAAATGACTGACAAAAATTCCCCGCTGCATACTCAATGGACTACCCTCGTGCAAAATTAGCACAATCGTAAGTCTCAGTGCATTCTGTTTGAATGAAATGCAAATTTCAAATTCCATTAGAAATATTAATTTGAGAAGACGCATAAATTTCCAGGAGGCACACCCAGTCCTGAGACTGCTCCCGTTCCCCGTGCCATCTCCTACTGGTGCTGCTGCTCCTCCGGCACCTCTCCACTTCTTAGATATACATACCTTCTGTTGACTGTGGCACACGTCCACGTCTAATATTAAAGTCTATAAAAATTAATGTTATGTTTATGGGCGCCCTTAACCTTTACGATAATGTACCTGATGCATGATATGAGCTCTGCTTTCTTGTTTCTCCCTCTACTTGGTTTTCTTTTTCTTGTTTGCCACATTTCTGGTGCTGCCCCTGGCTTTTGTAATCCGAAACTGGCCGCACTTTAAACTAATAAACATAAGCGACTCCCGCAACCCCAACCCCGCGCCTGTCCATTCCATGGGGAGGCTGAGAATGTGCTGCCCTGAGCCGTGTTATTTATGTGCATGTCTTGCCACTCACTTGCCAGCAGATTTCCCATGGTGCCGCTGGGCACAAACAGTCCGGCCTCCTTGCCAAAAATGGCCGCTGTCTTCGCCTCCAGTTCGTTGATGGTTGGATCCTCCCCATAGACATCGTCCCCGACGATGGCCGTGGCCATGCGGGCCCTCATCTCTGCCGTGGGCTGGCTGACGGTGTCCGAGCGTAGGTCCACAATGGAGGGAGACATTTTCTAATGTGGATTGCGGACGGAAGTGGATTAGGTGTGGCATTTGCATAAGTTGTGTTATGCTGATTCACTTGCTTAATGTTTTGTATACGTTAAAGTTAAAAGGAAGTCTAGCTTCTATAGCTGACGCTTTTGATGCCCTTACGGATCGTACGATCATCTGAATTTTGATTAAATTTGACTGAACAATCCAAAGATGTTCTCACACTGATTGATAAGTTTTCTCTTATTATTATTTGCAAAAAGATTCAGAAAGCTCTCTTGGCAGCTAAAATCGTACTACCCTGCGCTTAGAGTATTAAATCAGACCACGTCAGTTGCATTGCCATAATTTGATACTCATTTGCACCATACACTTGATAAGCCAGTGTCTGGTGTGGTCTTGGCTGATATTTTATGGAGAGGCAGCACCACTTGAACACTGATTTGCGATTATATAACCTTCAGCAATAATATTTATGCTCGAACACTTGACACTTGTCAGTTTAATTCAATTACAACAACGGCGTGTTCAATTTTCGGAAGACTTAATTCAATTAACAAACTTTTAGGTAAAAAGAACTCACACCAGCAATTAGTTGATAAGGCGGTGAGTGCGAAAAATAGAACTCAACGTGCTCGCACGAGTAACAAAAAATAAGTGACCCCCCCAACAGCTGCCGGCATTGAGTTTAGCCCTCGCTGAGGGCTTCCAGAAGAGAACGAACAGAGCATTATTGGAGAGCACCATAAAAGATTTACTGTACAATATACAATTGAGCGCGATCGATCGACGTGCCGGCCGAAAGCTCAAGCAAGAGAGGGAAAGCTCTCTCCAGACACGCTTTTACACTGCACTGCAAAGCTGAAGGTCTAACTGTCAAAGCGCGTTTACACTGAACACATTTAGAGGATAAGTATAACAGAGAGAAATCAGTTTTCTTTGGTACTTTTTTTATTAATTATTTCTGAAATTGTCACTAAAATTTTTACTAATTCTAACACAATTTTTGTATTCTTTCGTCTATCGTTTTTTCCTCACTCTGTTCACAATGTGTCTACGGGCCAACAAAACAATTTCTGCAGTTCTATGTCACTGCAACCACATCATAAGGTACAATTCAAAGATGTTACAATAATAAAAATAACAAATGTAACTTAGTTATATACTCGGTAATCATTATAAGTTTTTTAACAGTAGTTTAGTGTGTTTGTTTTTGATTCGTTTCCCACATGGTGAAGTACATACATGATTTTCGCTGGAACTAATTGGACTAACTAAGAAGAGGGACCAGGGCAGGCGGTTACACACCCACCCGGATCCGGATAAAGCTACGCCTGATATCGATCATAAAGTTATGTTAACTTACCAACTAAATTTGCAACAACTTTTCTTAAGAATTGTGGGGAGGGAGGGTTTCATTGGGCCTGGGGTAGGGGCTGGCAACTTGCATACGCGATAAGTGTATGCCCATCAAAGTTGTGTGTGTGTAAAATGTATGAAAAAATTATAAATAAATATTTAGAAAATAGTTTCATTTTTCCGCTTCCGTTTTAGTTTCAGTTTCAGTTTTCTTTTTGTGTTTATAGTCTTTTGAACAAGTTTCATTCCTGTGAACGCCGGCCAAGTGTTCAGTAGAGTTCAGTTTTCTTTAGCTTTAGTTTTACTCTTGCCTTCAAGTTAGTTTGTGTACTTTTGGCACCCACTATGCTGTGGGTGTGTGTGTGTGTCTGTATTGGTATGGGGAGGTACTCCATTTTCATGCCCAAATCACTTTAAACTACTCTCCGAAGGGGTCACTCCACTACTCGCTGGCTGGCCAGCTCTTTCGGTGGCTCCACAAACAAAAACGGGGTGGAAAATCATATTAACTAACATTAAAGTGAATTAATTTCTGGCCTTGGCTCTGGCTGTGCTCTCATTTCTGACATCTGGCATCTGGCTTCTGACTTTTTGGTATGTGCAGACAGAGCGACAAGGAGATATTTCACTTAGGACGCCGATCTTTTACAAAGATCGATTGCCACGAACTGTAACTCTAAATTCCGTTTCCCTTTCATCATTGGACAACACACAGGACACGCAACTAATAGCTAGGGGTGTAAGCTAATGCTCTAGGATGCTTTTGTTGGTTCTGCCACGCGCTCCATTCCTAGCGCTATGAGGACAGGTCATTCTCGGAGGCGTCCACCTCGCCGGGGGGATTCCTCTTTATGCAATCCCGTATGCTCTGCAAGATGATGCCCGTGCGCCGATCGAGGGCATCCAGATGGGGCTGCCAGAGCACCGGATTCACGGGATCGTTGCCCAGTGAATCGCTCATCAGCTGCGACAGCGTCTTGGGACCATTGTGGAACCTTCGAAGTAAAAATCAAGCATTTCAGGGTATCAGTATTGGGTTTTGGAGTTTTACTCTCTCTCTCTCTCTCTTAGGGTACACTCACTCAAGCAGCCGGATCAGCGTTGACTTGCGGATCACACAGCACTGCAGGACGGGCGCCAGGATGGAGAGCTCGTCATGGAAGGGACGACCAAATCCACGCCCATGGTCCAAGTGCAGAGGAAACGTCTCATTGCCGTAGACTCTGTAATGCAAGTGAAAAATCCAAGACCGAATTAAAGTGGATGCAGCACTCAGAAACCCCATCAGCCTCCTCCCGGAAGATATCCTGGATAATTGTCTGGCAATATGTGGGGAAAGTGCCAGACTCAGACGCAATCACCGCACGGATGCTCGGATTGGATTGGCTCAGTCATGTGTGAGCAGGCTGAGCAGGGCGGAAGGGTGCCGGCGATGACATCGCCATAAGCCCAACAAACGCTTTTGCATAACAAACAATTTAGTAGGAGCCAAGTCACCTGGCACCTGGCACCTGGCATGGCAGCCTGGTCTTAGAGCTGGCCTGTTCCCGGCTACTTCCCCGAGCCAGCATCGATGATGTGCGGCCATGGTAGCGGCGGCTTACGAGGCTGAGATGTTTTGTAACCTTTTGCCAGACGGGTTGGGAAATATCTTTCCGTGGCACTGCCTGGCTCCTGGACCTGCTCTGACTGTTGTTCCTGCGGCCATGGCTGTTGCTGCCGCTTTTCCTGTAGCTGCTTGGCATGCAGGTGCTGGCATATCCCTGCCAAATGCATGCGCTTAGGCGGCCGCATATGAGGTATATACGTAACGTGCTAAAAGCAGCCAGAGCCAGTGCCGTTGCCATAGCCAGACAGTGGGAGGCAGTGGTATGCAGTGAGAGGCTCTGAGAGGCAGCGAGGCAGGAAGCCAACAGAGCCATGTGTGCGGAAATAAACCGATCGCATTAGTTGCCATGCCAAGGACAGCCATGTGCACATATCCAGCTAAGCCCCAACTCCCCCAACCAACAGATACCCCTCAATATACTCACTTGAAAGTCTCATAATGATGACGATCCATGTTGCCAGTGAGGAAATCAAAGACGGCCATGTCCATGAGGTCGTACAGCCGCCTGCCCTCGTCATAGGGTGGAATATCACGGACCTAAGTGGGTTTAAGGGTGAAAATCAAATGCAAAATTAAGTTGCATTCAAGCCAGTGGAAATTCCAAGCGGGGAGGGGGAATGCAAAAGAGCAAAATGGAACCAGAGATGTCTTAATTAAGTCAACTCCGGGTCCGGGTCCGGGTCGGACCACAATAAAAACATTTGCATTTCAATCGAGTTTAAATGCAAATTAAATAAAAGTAACCGCAACGGAAGGCGCTCCTCAGAGTCCGGAATGGAGGAGACTCCCTTTGCCTGAATGCCCATTCCCTTTTCCCCACTGAAACGAGCAATACATACCAGGGCACAGTAATGGGCATCTGTCTCCCACTGAGCCTTCTTCCGCTTGTGATAGGAGCGTCGCCAAGGATGCCGCCAGAGCTGTGGAAGGTGCAGAACAGAACAGAAAAGAATGCAACATAAAATCAATTTCCATTCCGAAACACAGTACGACTACGGGAATTGGGGCAGGCAGTCCTGTCTTAGCACGAGGCATTCGGTTAAAATGTAAGAATATTAATTTCGCATTTTGCTTTATGGCGGCTTCTCGTTCACTTTCTCTTTGGAGAATTCTTCCAACTGCAGCGAAATTAATTTTGCTTAAATTAAATTATTTGCTGGCCAGAAGAAGGGCAATCAAAGTTTTGCTCTCGTTTGACTTTTTCCTCCTCTCTGTGTGGCGCGCCCACCGCAACTTACCTTCCGACCCTGGACAGGCCAAGGGGTACATTTTTATGTGGAGGAGGGGCAAGCCCCAGGACAACAACAACGACAACAACGCGATGGAGAAACAGGAACGGGAGCAGGAGCGGGAGCGAGAGCGAGAGGCGGCGTAGAAGCAGCAACAACAAAAATTATATAAAATATATATAAAGGAATTAAAAAACAACATTTGGGGCGAGAGAGGAAGCGAGAGAAAAAAATGCATAATAAAAGCTCAGCGCGTTGGGCGCTTTATGCAGGCAGAGTGGGCGTGACCATAGTGTGTAATGACCGGAAGCCTCGTGGGGGGGTTAACGGTCTCAGAACGCAGCAGCAGCGGCAGCAGCAACAACAGCAAGCGGTGCAAAGCAAAAGCAAACCCCCGCCACACACACCACGGAAACTGCGGGAAAAGCAACAAACTACAACAAAAAGCGCAGGAGACAGAAGCGAACATAAAGCACAAAGGTGAGGTAAGTTAACGGTGGAATGGTGACAGCAATGAAAGGGAATGGAATGGAATGGAATGGGTCCATGGTATGAGAAAGAGCGAGGTGCAGGGAAATCCGCCGTATCTAAGTTGAATTTTTTAGTTTTATTTTTTGGCATAGAATGCAACGCTTTACCCTGCCCTTTTCTTCCTCATCTCATCGAAAAACCGAAAAACAACTCCCAAAAAATGCATAAATCATGAAAAAAATTAAATTCCATAAGGGTAGCAGTGGGATGGCAGCGGTGGATACGGATGGAAGCAACGGAATGCGGCAAATGTGAGGAAAGCAATTTGCAATTTTTGTTAGCAACGCGTTAAATGTCCTTGATAAATGCTCGGAACCTGAGCAACCACGGCAAGAAAGATACTTAAAGATGAATGGTGGAATGGGGAATGACTTCAATGGACATTTTTAGGGCATTCTCTATGAAAAATGGGTTTCGAATATTTATAATGCGGTATGAATATTGTATGCTTCTACATAGTTTCATAGTATCTTAAAGAAGAATGTGCACAAGTGGAATTTTTCAGTAATTATTTATGAAAATTGTTAGTAAAAAAGCGAGCCAATAAAAACTGACATATGCATATCCGTATTCCATGTAAATGCTTTCATAACAAACTGAATTTCTCATGTTAATGTATAATTTGATATGTTAATTAATTAATAGTCCATCAGACCAATTAACATTTATAACTGACAGATGTAAACAAATGAGACTTTCACGGCTAATTTGTTTAATTATTTGTTTACTATAAATATGTAAAACATCTACGACTGGGCTATTGTTTTGTGTGTCCCAACTATTTTCTTGGAAACAAAGGAAGAGCTACAATTTCCAATGGTTGTCTTCTGGCGTTCACTTTGCCACCTCTATAACTGTTTCAGTACACAGAACATCTACCTATTCTTTGCACCTTAAGGACTCCTCCTATATTGATTCTCCGATTTCTTTCTCCATACCCAACCATACCCAAGCAATCCTCAAAGCATTTAACAAGCGTGCAAATCAAATTTGCAACTTAATTAAAATTCTGTTCTGCTACAAAAAAAATGTTCTCGTTGTTTACTTCTAACCAACTTGGGCCCCCAGGGCGATGGAAAACCCGAACAGAGCAAACAGAGAAAAGGGGAAAACAGAAACGGATACGGATACGGATACGGAAAGAGAGAATGACACAGAGACAGAGACAGGGAGAGAGAGCTGCAGGAGGAGTGAAAAATGGAGGGAAAAGAAAAATGATCTCTTGTGCATAATTTACAGTTTCGCCTTACGCCAAATCTCAAGTATACACTTAACCATTTTCTACTTGTAAACTGTTTTGAGAGCCAGCCGCAAAAAAAGGGGAATAAAGAGAATTATTCCTTTGAGGCTCGGGGCAAGGATACTAAAAAATAAATGTATAAAGTAGACTAAAAATAAAAAGCCTCTGCATATCTGTGGGACAGACCTGATTGTGGAGAGAATCTGTGTGAGAGGGATGAACCCTTGTTATAGCCTTGGAGACGGTCAGGGTGATGCGGACGGAGTCCAGCAAAGGCTTTAATTTTCGGTAATTTGCATTTAAAAGCTGCCCTATTTTCTCCCAAATCTGCTCCGTTTTGATGGAGTGGACTCTAGAATTTATTAACGTTAGAGAAACGGAGATCCAGACCCACTGCATTTAAACATTTCATTTTACGCTCTACCAGACGCTAAAGAACTGATACAATATTTTGCTCTTATTTCAGCAGCCAAATGAATGAATGAAATTTCCGAGTGGCTCCGGCAAAGGATAGGAACGAGTCGCACAAACAAACAAAGGATACAAAAAATTATGTAAATGAAAAGAGAGTTTCTCCTTTTGGCTGTATAAGTATTAAAGGTAATTTTTTAAAAATACCTCCTCCTTGCTTCTCTATAAGTGAGCTGTTTTTTATGCTTTGAGCCCTCTAATTGGGTCACTCACCAGCGGGTTGGGTAGGATCGGATTTGGTGGGTTTGGATGGTAGTTCTAGGAATCAGAGCCAGTCTGGAGCCCCATGGGTTACCTGTTGCCGGCCACAACATACTACATTCTGAGTAAATAAAGTGATTTGTTATTCGGCCTGGCCAAGCGAACGAAATTAGTAATGAAAGCAGGCGAACCACAGCACATAAATTGTAATCTGGCGCAGTGCTGAGAGCTGGCCGTGCATTAATCAAAAACCACTTAGCCCAGCCTGTGGCTGTGGCGGGGGCTGGGCCTGGGCCTGGTCGAGCTCCTCATGACTACGACAGCCGTGAGAGACATGAGGGAGATAGATCCAAGCGAAGCGAGCCCCATGCGTGCGGTTGTGAGGGATGGCATGGCATGGCATGGCGTGGTATGGCATAGTATGGGATGTTGGGGAATGGTACGTACCTTGCGATTTCCCGACTCAAAGTTGGGCAGAAAGGCGGCAAAGGAGCCCTCGAGCAGGTCCGGGTTCCCGCAGATGGCATGCGAGGTGTCACAATAGTAGGAGCACTTGCCATGGAAGCATAAATTCAGCGACGGCGAAACAAAGAAGGTCTTCAATAAATTCTCCTCGGCCAGTTGATAAATTTCGGTCGTAATGTTCAGTGTACGTCCCGCCACAGGCATGGCACGCCGGAATCCCAGTATCCTGTAACCAGAGACAGCGAAGAGAACGGTTAATAAAAAGGCCAGACAAAAGTAAAAACAAGAGAAACATTTCCTTAATGGCGGAGACACACAGAAAGCGAGAAACTGCTCGGAGTGTGAAGCGAAATGCGTAATCAAGAATAAGGAAAAAGAAAAGATTCAGCGGAGACGGAGGAAAAACAATCGGTTGAATATTTCCTTATTCACTTGAGCAAACAAAAACCAAAACAATTGAGTTAATTCATTGCACGTGGCAGCCACATCTGACAGATACTTCTGCAGAGTACAGTCTGCCATGGACTGGCAACAATGCATATCTGACAGTAACGATTGCGTAGTCCAGAGCATTCGACTCATCAATTTTGAGCTGTTTAAACAAAACTTTAATCCGATTGATTGGAAAACAGAAAATAGATTTCAAATCCAATTACTGCATAAATCTTTAGACAATCTTTTCGGGCCAATCTGTCTGCCTCGCAATGGGGTTAAAGTGTTTCGCCCACAAAATTATATCGCAAAATGGGGAAATGTTTATTGTCTTGGGGTCAAGGGGTGAGGGGAAAATGCGATAAATTTATATCTTCCAGAAACCACTCCAGAAGTTTGGGGCATACTCCATTAGTGGGCTGACAGCCCAAGCTGAGCTCAAAGTTTGCCGTTGCACTGGGACCAACTCTGGGGGCTTGGTACTCGCCATCGATGGGAATGTTGGGGATGTTGGGAATACGGGGGCTTGCCTGCGTGTGGCAGCCACAACAATTACACAAGTTATGACGCCTTATCTGAATTCAAAAATGCCTCAGCGGGGAGCTCCAGACCGGACAGGGGACACGAACTGGCAATTAGCCTCGCTGTCAAAGTTTTGTCAAACGCAAGCAGCTGCTAACTATGCAGACAATTTGCAGTCTAAATTACTGGGGAACATGTCAGCCCTGGCCTAGCGTGGCCATGGACTTGGCCAAGTTAATTAGCCATGAAAGGGTCTTCTCGTAGTCGGGAGTCAGGGTCGGGATCGCTGGGATGTCCAAATTTATTTGCCCACATAATTTACATGCGTTGGCGCCATATCCTTTTTTACCCACCCACAACTACTCCTCTCTCTCTCTCTCTCTCTCTCGGCGTTGGCTTGAAAAATAATCTTAAATATCATTTAATGGCGCCATTTGGCCCCCGCCCGTATGTTCCTGTGTGTGTGTGTCCGTGCGAGAGGATAAGTGTAGGAACAATTTTTATTTTATGCGACGGCTCATCATAAATAATGAACATAAATGGACTGCGGCCTGACCTCAGCATGTGCCCGTTCACGAAGAGAAGAGAGAGGGGTGAGTGTGTGAGTGTTTGTGGGGGCCAGGATTATTGGGCCGCCGTCTAATCGCAGAAGGTCAGGCATCCTTGTGGCTTTCAAATTGCCAAAAAGTATCATAAATTTGAATGCCGAATGTAGGCCCAGGGAATGCTCTGGCTAACATTGCCAGCAAATTGGTTAATTTGATTGCTTTGTCAGGTACCAGAAAACCCGAAAAATAAAACTCCAAAAAGTCATAAATGTGTAAGAAAAACTCAAAGGGAATTCCAGCTGGCGAGTCAGCTGGTATAATCCAAAGGAATGTCAGAATGAATATTTTTTTGCAATATTCTGGGATTTTTTAAAATTAAATTTGAAACTGTTTTCCGACCGCAAGCCCCAGCCGCCCTCAATTGATTCCTCTCAGATACAGTTTTTGTTTACCTAATTGAATATTTCAAATTGATTTCGATTAAAAATTGTGCTGTTGCTCTCCCGCTGATGTTGTGGTGGCAATTCATGAGCATTTCAGCATAAATATTTGCGTATAATTGAAAATTAAATGAAAAATAAATATTCGTGAAGGATGCCAGATATTTACAATGATTTAAGCCCCACAAAATGCCACAAAAAATGCATTCCGAAATTGCGGTGGGGAGACGAGTACGTGGAAGGCAACTGAAACGGAAACGGAAACGGGAACAGGAACGGGAATGGGAAAGGGAACGGGACTCACCTGTCCAAATGGAAGGCAGCAATCTCGGCATTGTGTCGCTCATAGTCCGTGAAGTAGAAATGATTGGGCAGCGTTTGCTGGTCCCTGGGAAACCTGTGGAAATGTAAATCAGACAGCTGAGAAAGGTGGCAGGGAAAAGGGCAGCGTGCCACAGAATGAATTGAATAGAAACTGCGGGCGTCTGTCACCAGCTTAATGCATTTGCGTGGGTGGCCCCTGTAGGGGCAGGAACTGGAGCTGGAGCAGAGGTTTGTGGTGTGGCAGCAGAGCACCTGCAGTGCTATGCTTAATTACTTACACGAGCCCCACACGAAGCGGGGACTGCAATTAAAAAGAAAATATTAAAAAAAAGAGACGAGCAACCATTCATTTAAATTGCAAATGAATGGCATTAAAAGGACACTTTGCACTTTGGCAGTTGGCTGCTCCAACTCCAGCTCGTGCTCCACATACACCTTCAGCGTCAGCTCCAGCTACAGCTCCACATCCAGCTCTCAACTGACGGGCCCAGGCGGAGGTATCCCAATGGAAGGACACATTGACCAAGGCATCGCGTTTAAATCTCATTAAAAAGTGCATAAATGTTTTAAATTTGCTCACAGCTTGAAGGGACCACCGCAAAACGTCGGAATTTCCATCGACATGCAAGTCGCTGGGAAAGTCAGCGAAAATGGGGAAAGTGTTGTCGACAAGTGGGCAAAAGTTGCATTCATTATGGGACAGGGACAGGGACAGCAGGCAAATGCATTAAGCGGTCGATGCGTTGAAGAGTCGATGCCAGGCAGTCTTCGCCTCGGCCATACTTACCTCATGGGCTTCATTAAGGCCTTGACATCGTTCGGGTATTCAATGATCAATTTCAGCTGGGTGCCGCCCTCCTTTTGCACTGCAAAAAGAGAGAGAGAAGGAGAAAAAAACAAGTGGTGAAATGAATGTAAATTAATCAGGCACTCGACATTAATTGAGGCAAAAACCGAAACCAAGAGAATATCAGGAAATATTGAATTCCCAATAAAATGACTCTCTTTTTGGAATCGGCTTTGAAATTGTTGCCAAGCCAGAATTCCAAAAACACAAAACACACTTGACTTAATACCAATTAAATTGCATTTGAAAAGGCTCAAAAAAAACCATAAATATTACGTAAATGCAGCCACATAAGGGATCCTCAAACCACTTTGGGGTTCTGTTCTGTGTTTGTATGTGAAGTCATCTGTATGCATTGACCATTAAAATAATAGACAGTAGGGGCTTATTGGCCACATTTCAGACTCGGGGACTCGGACTGGCGCTGGCGCTGGCGCTGGCCAAAAACGAGAAAATTAAACCGCATTTCATTCGAATTGAAATAGAACACAAAGGCCGGACAATGTGGAAAGCTGCAGAGCGGCGAAGATTCTACTTTACTTATGAGTTATGACTCGAAAGTTGCTCCCCGGCCATGTCCTGGCTGCAAATGTGTGTTGGAAGAAGTTATTTGTATACGTTCCGTGATAAATGCTTGCCAGTGCCGGAAAAAGCCCTTTCGGAGGCAAAGTTGCAACAATTATGCCACGAAAGTGTCATTGTTGCACTGTGTGTGGCACCGCTCTCTACGTCTCTCTTTTTTCCCCTAGTGGCAAATGAGTTTTCTTTTTGTTGGCTGCTAAAAGTTTATTATTAATAAATTAAGACTTTAATGAAGGCGCTGGTAAAACTTTGAAATGGAAATAGTTTCATAGCAGCACCTCAATAATCCAGCGGCTCGAGGCTCTCTCTCCCCTCCATAATTGAGTTAAATGTGCCACTCCGGACTCCCCAAGCCAGGACACATCTAATCCCACAGGCAGAGGCCAACAAACTTTGCAAGTTTAAGAGTACGACTACGACTACGAGTATTTATGACTTTACACACCCGCAGTTGCAGAAGACGAAGAAGAAAGATACGAGTATAGGAGGAGAATGTCTTACCAACATGCTGTATTGGCAGCTTGATCATGTCACGTAGCACCGCATCCACCAGAGTGTCCTGTTCGCCGTACAGCTCCTTCTTCGTGATGCGCAATTGGAAGCGCTCCAAATTGCTGGCATTGGCACTGCAGGAAGAACAGAACAGAAACAAAATGTTGGAAATGTAAGTAAAAATCGAGCATCGAAGCCCTAAGCCAGCTGTCGTTTCAAAGGCACAAAAAGGAAACCGCAGGGACAATCAGGCAGCGAGTGGGTATGGGCTTGGGTTTTGGGGTTCTTGGGGTTTCAATTTTATTTGGGTCTGGTCGGGCTCCCTCATAAGTATGCCATGCTCTTGGCTGCATATCAAGATTTCTCACATTGATTTGTCAAAGCTATGCACACAGACGGAGACGAGGAAAAGTGTTCATTCCATCTCGCCCTTCTGTCTATCTATCGGTCCGTCTGGGTGTCTGGGTGTCTGGGTGTCTGTGTGTCTGCCTGTCATGACAATTTGGTTTGCAAATGCCAAGGCACCACCCATATCAGCCGTAATCTTTTGGTAGTGCCCTGCATTTTTCCTGCCGCCTGGCAGTTGCCAGAAACTATCTTTTCCCCGACGATTATGCTTTAGTCTCTCGTTTTTGACATGTGCCGCTCACATGGCAAATGCTTTTGTCTTAAGCCCTTGCTTCCAGTTACAACTCGTTGTGTGATTTCCGATTCCTATTCACATTCACATTCAGTCCAATTTGTACTGGTCGAGCACATAAACCGATGGCCAGAATGTAAGCTGCAAAATGTTCAAACCAAAGTAAAGTAAAGTACTCTATTTCCAATTTCTGTCGCTCTTCCCTTCCCCGCAGTCCGTGTTAACTTTTGGCAGTGGCTTTCCCTGTTGCACTGCAGACAACAAATTATCCCAGCAGCCATGACAAATTGAAATGCAAAACTTTCCACTGAAATCTAGCTGATATTTCTGCTGCTGCTGCTACTGCTGCTGCCACTTCTGTGTTGGTTGCCCCGGCACTTGGCCAAAAATGATGGCGCACGATGCTGTGGAATGAGAAATGATTTCTGCTTGCTCCATTGTGCGCCAAGTTTATCACGATAATGAAGTCATATCCGGGGCTGCTGTCCGCTGTCCCCCTGGCTGCTCTCGATGGCATCCACATAACTCATTCTTTCGCACCCTTTCCGGTCGCCAGGACACCCTTCTCTCTGTCACAATTTGCCTGTTGACGAGTCTGTGTGGGACGTTGAACACTTAAGGTTTTTTATGCTGTCGCTGCCTCCGTCTTTTACTCAGAGTCCTTTTGCAGCTTTTATCTAACCTTTTGTTCGAAAGGAACCGGAAGGAAACAAATGTCTAGATGGCAACCTTCTTGTGCACGGAATGCCTTTCAATATTTCAACGTTTTATGGAAACGGTGACAGCATCCGGACTGTCTGCTTTGCTTAGCAATGAGCTGTGCCTTAAAGCCATTTCCAGCTCTGGTAGAAGTCTAATTGCCATCAGGGCCAAGCGGCAATTATCATGAGGAGCAGCCACCGCAAAGCGAGAAATTGACAAGGGTTCCTGGGCTTGGAGGTTGGTTCTTCGTTCTCGTAAGTGGCATCGAAAGGGGTCAAAGCAGTGGCAGAAACACGTGCTTCATTCGTGCCACAAAGTATGCATCATAAGGATGCCATGGCAAAAGCCAAAGTCGTGCGTATGTTTCATTTGTCAACTGTGGTGGAAAACCAACTGCACCAGAAATAAAAGGAAGATAGCTAGGGAGAGAGCACCCAGAGAGAGCAGCAGAAGCAACAGAAGAATTCACCACAAAAGCAGGATGCTGGATAGAGTTAGAGCTGCCACCCTAGAACCTGCGTAATTGATGAAGCCTCCCGCTGTGGACATTGACTAAGCACTGGACCCTGTCCACACAATCCATGGCCTGCGGTCAGAAGCGGCTTGGCTCTAATGTTTTGCCAATAGTTTTGGGTCTGGCTGCCCTCCCGACTGGGGACCATTTCAAGCTGTTGCATTTTTGGGTCTCGGTGCTACGAGGAAAACCCACAAAGGGGGAACAAAAATCCATATGGGGATGGCAAATCCAAAATTCAAATTCCTTTTGTAATTGAGTCACGTAAATCAGTTGCAGCGGCCGCCAGTCAAAAAAGAAACCCCAAAATCGCATTACAAGCGAAAGTAAAATGGACAGAGACAAAGAGAGAAAGAGAGGGAGAGCGGAAGATATGTGTGCAAAAGCGGGAGAGAGAGAGAGAGAGAGAGAGAGAGATAGAGATATGGCACGTGACACGTGGCTCAAAATGCACACAAACCCACATGTACTCTCTCTCTCTCTCTCTCTCTCGCGCTCTCTTATACACGCGAAATGCTGACAACCGCAGTGACAGCAAGGCAACGCAAGCGGCTAACAAACCACCACCGCCCCTTCCCCCTGCTGAGCCCCGTCTCCCCTTTGCCACTTGGCTAAAACCCGCGCAAAAGTTTGTTATGCAAAAGCGTTGACAACCCAACGACGTTGCAAACGACAACAAAAAATAATACAAAGTAAAATGAAACGAGCAGAGAAGAAACAATTATGTAGTAATGTATGTAGACAGTGTATAGTATATGTAATTGAAAAAGGGATTTTCATATAATTGGTCGTGGCAACCCTCCCACACACCACGCAGCAGCCAGTGGGTGTGGTATGCTTGCTTGGCAGTTGCACGTTCCTGGCGGTTACTTGCGTCAAGAGTTTGCTTTGAGTTATGTTTAGCGGAAATTAAATTTAAATGTCTGGGTCGGTGGGCCGTCGGCCATCTTTGAATGACGCCCACTAATCAGCTTAATTGCGCTCGGCTGGGCGATCCAACAGGATGACAGGAGGACGAGTAGCGTCCAGGTGAGAGATGCTGCCATGGAGATGGAGCCAGAAATAAGTCAAGTTGCTTGCAGTAGAACAAATTTAAACAACTTTTCCGGCCAACAGCAGGTATCTACTGATGATATCTCCATCAAGTTATTCGCGCCACAGATCAAAAATTATTAATTAATGCAATATTAAATTTCAATTGCCACCGGATTCGGGCTCTACCCGCGAAAAACATTCAAAAGTCCTCGGGAAACTTCCGCAGGATTATGACTGGTCGAGTGACTGGCTTTCAGTGGATATATTTATTTCTGCGGCAGCCGCCTACCATTGTTGTCGGTGTTATCCCTAGTGCCATGCCCAAGTCCTGCGGCGGCCGGGGTGGTACTATAATAACAGCTGTCAGCCGGCATGTCCTGGCCTTTGCTTAAGCCTCGCAGTGGCGTACTCACGGGCGCACTCCCGCAACCCGCAATTATTTTCCCATAAGAAAATGTCAGTAAAGTTTTCCTGGCGCACTTTCCTCCTGGCAGCTGCGACCAGGCCGAGGCCGAGGCCGCAGCAGCCACAAAAGTGCTCCTCAGATAGACAGAGACGGAGCGGCAGCCACACAGATACAGGGCGAGAGAGACGGAGAGAGAGAGTCGCTAGGGAATGGGCAAATGTTAGGGAAAACTTTGTGCGTGTGAAATTTTGCGACCACGAAGACCAAAGAAGGGACGGACGCCGTACCCTAGTGGACGTACCAGGATTGCAGCACGGCTCACACAACGGACACTTTGGCAGCGAGTTGAAGGAAGAGAATTCAGTGGCAGAAACAGGGGTAGGAAGTAGAGGAGCCCAAGAAGTTGGAGAAGCCGGGCACAAGAAAGTGAAATTAAAGTTATACTGTAGCTGGGATAAAACTTCGGCGGCAAGAGCGCGAACATTAAAACCAATGACAGCAAACCGACTGCAGCTGGGATCCCAAGAACACGGAGTGGGAAAGGGAAGCTGGCACTCCTGCTGCTGCTCTTCCTGGAGTATCCTTGAGATGTCAGCAAGCGCTCAGTGTCGTACACACTCGTCGACGCTGAGCAGAGTCGTTTATTGCTAAGCGCATTCCTCTGCCTCATTCCCCATGCCGAATCCGCATTCGCATTCGCATTTGGACGGATCCCCTTTCGCATCCTGCTCGACAGCTGCTAAAACTTCTTGTATTTCTCCCTTTGTCCGGGTGTAATTCGCTTGAAATAAGATTTCTTCTGTGGCAGCTCAACGCGGTCGCAATTGCAGGCTAATTAAAAATTTGTCATACTAATTAAACGCAAGCCGCAAAAGGATGCGGCCAGCACCGACCCGAGCACTTTCGCTGAATCAGTGGCAATGCCAGTGTGGCACGGCATCATACCACTGACAGTAGCGGTGGCAGTGGCAGTGGCAGGAGCAGCGGCACCAACTTGCCGTAATTATATCCCAGCTAATGTTGGACAGGTCTTTGTAGTCACTGGGTGTACCTGGGACTCTTCAGCCTGTAGCTAATATTCAACGTGTAATTTAAGGCATATTTGCATTATGTCACATTTTTTTTTCTCCGCCGCTCGGTTGGCTGCATTCCCATAAAGATGGAGATGGAGACGGATCCACCTGCGCTGCGGCACTCGGCAAAGAAAAAAAAGTGCTGACTGAACACGAACCGAAACCGCTAAGCGAAAGAAGCCAACACTGTGGGGAAGGGAAATTAGATAAAAGACAACGTCAAGCATATAGGAGGGACTCCTCGGCCTGCATCTGCTCACAGGGCGACAGTATTTTAATGAGATAAAGTATCTCTGGCGACGAGCGACAGGCGACAGGCGACAGGAGCCTCAGCTTCTGTCAGACATGCCTTGATCCAGTTTTCAGCCATGATGGATATCACTGCCCAAAACAAAACCCCCCAAAAAGGTGGCCTAAATATATCTGCAGCTAAGAATGAATTTAATATTACAAAAAATGCAGAATGGGAATGCTGACCTCTTGGACTTCAATTGAAGCAAATCCAAGTTCCAGAAACTTGTTAGATCCACGTGCAATGTTTTCTGGTAAGAGTGTCCCACAGTCTCTTATTTCCAGCAAGTTATCCTTTTTGTGCCCACGAACATTTACTGGAAGCAATTTCGCTTGTTAATGAAATTTGCATTTGAGCTACGTGAGGAAGACCAAACACACACACACACAACATGGAAAAAAAAGTGTAGCCAACTTTCTGGCTTGGTTTTCGGTGATGTGCTATAAATTAGAAAATCAAGCATTTTATGCTAATGCAAGCGCCACCACTTACCCGGCAGAGAGAGCTCGGCAACCCGTGGCAACCGAGACAACCCAGACGACACCTCCCACTCGGAACACCAAAAACAAGCTGTCGGATGTGCAGGAGGAGGACGAGCAAGAACAGCAACAAACTGTTCAGTTTGACAAGTTTTTGCCACTTTGCATTTTCCCCTTTTTCGATTTTCTACACCCCTTGCTGTTCACCCCTGCCTTTCTATACACTCTACACTATTCTCTCCTCGTGTTTTTTATGCATCTTCAGCCAACTAGTGAAGCAAATGAAATTACTCATACGCTACGTATTCAATTTTGATAAAAACTGCCAAAACGATTTCGAGCGAACAGAAGCTTCAACATTGCTTCTTCGAGTGTCTGTTCTTTGTGATCGGAGGGAATGGCAAAAGGAAAATAAGGAGCAACATTTACTCGAAGTAAAGCATAAAAAGTAACGAGTAATGGAGGGGGCTATGCGGATGGGATACCGAAAGGAAGATGGAGAAAACTAAGCTGATTACCGAGCGGGAAAATCCAATGAAAACTCGGCGAAATAAATTTCATTGCAGCCTCAAGTGTGTGTGTGTGTGTGTGTGTGTGTGTGTGTGTGTGTGTGTGTGTGTGTGTGTGTGTGTGTGTGTGTGTGTGTGTGTGTGTAGAAGGGTAGGGGCAGGCGTGCTGCAAATCCACATTGATTTCTTTATTGCAGTTTTATTTGATTGTATTTCCTTGCCAAATTACGCATACGCCAAGTTGAGACAAGGCAAACTCTCATCAGCGTAATCGGTGAGCGACATCTCCTACACTTCTACACTCTGTAGCCGCCGGCAACAACAATCAGGCAACACTTACCCGAAACAGATAGAGACATATAGATATCTAGAATGGATTCTCGGCAATGAGAATGGGCTCGAGGATGAAGACGGAAGGCAGCGTAAAGCGTAAAGCGTAGAGCAAATGTCTAAAGCGTAAATGTGTCACGTAAATGGAGCGTAAATTTCAATAAAAATCATTTCAATTCCGTTGAGGCCCCAAAAGTGCCGCAACTGCTGGCTGCACACACAACCCGCTTTCAGCTTGCCACTCCCTATATCAATTACCACGTGCCTGGTGGCTGCTAAAGTAGCCCAAGGACTCGGGCCAGCATTATGTCCTTCCGCTTAGGGGAAATTGAATTTTCTTCGTCTTTTTCTGTTCGAAGTAAGTGGACTGCTCCTTCTGCACTCACCTGGCTTTGCGATGCAGCATCTCGGCCAGGGTGGGATTATCCACGGACACATCCGGCGCATTGTCCACAATGACATGAGAGTACTCGTCGGTGAACAGCAGCTTCTGCAGATCCACATACCGATCGTGCGGGGTCGGCTTGCGGGTGGAGAGCATGGAGCCAGTGCCGGGTCCGGCAGCGCCGCCAGACCCTCCAGCCGCTGCCGCTGCCGCTGCAGCCGCATCCTGGCCGCTGGTTACGCCTCCGCTCTGACTGGCGGCCGCAGCCGGAGTGGATGCCTCCTTTGAGCCAGATGAGTTGCTGTCAAGAGAGGGGAAAGATGGATGGTTAAAAGTCGGCTTAAAAAAGTGGTATAATTAGCTCCGAGGAGGAGGAAAGGGTTTAAGTTGGGGTTGCAGCTGATGCTGGGGCATACTCGACAATGGTCTTCAGGCTCTTGTTGCTAATTGCAACTGCCAAGTGGCTGAGGCTGAGGCTGAGGCTGGCTTTGAGTGGCAGCTAGCTTCAAGCAGCAAGAAGCAGCTACGTGCCCTCTGGCTAAGCAACTAAAGACACGCACTTGCAGGTAAGTTGAAACTTTGTCAGCCCCTACTTTTAGCTGCATTTATCTAAGAAGAACACTCTCCTCCACACACACACACACACACACACAGACACACAGAGATGCACAGATACACAGGCACACGAGCAAACTTGACTGCAATAAACTGAAATTGCAGACACTTCAATGTCTAGCCCGGCACCCACCCCTCCGTACATGTAGGGCAGGGTCTCAGCTGGCGACACAGTGGAGCAAAGATTGACAACTGTTAGAGAGTGTCATTCCTTGGAGTCCACCTCTCGGTGTCTGCTGCATTTGCCCCACTGTGTGCTTTGGTAATCATCTGCAGTTTAGTCGTCGCCTTCTTCAGACAAAAAGAGTGCTCGAGAAATGAATTAAAGTTTTTGCGCAAATTCGTTGGCAGCCTTGACTCCTCCTGGCTTTAACCATCGCTCGTTAGGATCGGGCCAAGTGTGGGTGGGGAAATTATGAAATTATTCTGGCATTTGTGTGGCCATTAAAACGAATGTCACATGAATGCTCGCAAACGGCCCCTTCACATGCACCAAATGCACATCATTAGGCTGGAAAGCCGTGGCTTAGAGAAAATCTGCCTAAAAAGATGAGTACTTTCCATTTCGGCAAATTGTCGCTTTCAATTTATAATTGTTGCACAATGTTATCTCTTTTTTTTTTGTGGCAGCTGATACTTTCCTCTGAGCCCCTGAATTCCCCGTCTCAATCCTGTCTTATCCGTCAACCCGACAGGTGTGTGGCATCCGATGGATGCAAAACTTTTTCAATTAACATTTTGCCAGCCAAAGTCTGAGCCAAGAGTGACACGAGGATGGGTTTCGGGGCGTTGCGCTGTGTTGCTGCTCTTCACAAATTCCCCAGCGAATTAGACAATATCATCCGGCAAAGCCGCTTTCACTTCGCCTCCGGGCCTGCTATGAATTTTCCCCCATAACGAGTTTGTGCAGATTTCACGCATTTTATTGGAAACCACATAATGCCACTTTATGTGCTAATAAGTATTAAAATCTTCCTTTGTGGACACACTTGTAAAGTGAAGTGAAGTTAAGTGAAGTGAAGTGAACTCCCTCCCTTCCTTGCTTCCGCTCCTAAACAAAATTGATTCCACATGCCACCTCAACCGCTGCGCCTGCCACACAACCACTCGGGCAAAAGCAATGACAATACATACGAGGACCGTGCAGGGCCAGGCCTTGCCGTGTTTTGTCCTCCATTTTGGGGGGCATTACGCTGTTCGCTGTTCTCTGTTCGCTGCACGCCGCGATCGATGGTGGCGTGCACTTAATTACACTCTGGCGAAACTTTGCTCATTAAACTGTCACATGATGTGCGTAATGCTGCCCACATAAGCTGCCCCTGTGATGTGGTTAATTAAACAGTCAACTGCCTCTGTAACAGCCCGGAAGAGGAGGCCAGGGCGGGAGGGGACTATCCGATGCATATGTATGTATGGGACCAGCTGCGATTGACAACAACAGGATCAAATGCAGCTCAAAGTTTATGGTAGTCTGGGGTGGGCTCTGGCTGGTGTATTGATGACTCAACTAGGACCAAATTGAGATCCAATGGACTGCCTTGGCCTGGCAACTAACATAACAAATAAAGGGCCAATGAATGTCTGCAACGAAGCCATAAACTGTAAACTGTAAACGGAAATGCTGTCAGGAAATGTTAGCAGCAGGAAAAATCGCCACAGCTTGCCGGAAAGACTTACAGAGAAATCTGTAACTACTCTTTGCACTCTTTTTAGCTGCGATATTTTTGGTAAAGTAATTGCAAGAGTCTTAGGTATTATAATTAATGGGAAACACATTAAAACATATTTTCCAAAGGGAAACTATAAAATTTATTGCATCGCTAAAGCAACTCCCCCATGGATACACCCCCTAAAATCATGTAAAATTCCCTTGTTTCCCTCAAAGACAACGAGAAATATTTAAGACATTGCGACGATGGTGCTACAGTTTGCCGTTTTTTAATGAAATAATTAAAAAATTATGAGACTGGCAGCCGAAAGAAGGGTAGCTGATGGGGAGGGGAGAGCTTCGGCTCTGACAACGAAGCTGGGCAAACATTTGATGCTTAAATAGAATTAATTACGCTTCACAGCCACGTTGCACGACTCAGTGCATGGAGGCATCATAATTTTGCATTTGCCTTGGCGCATAAGTAGATAGCGGCAGCAACAGGGCCCTGGGAGCCTGGGAGCCTGGGAGCCGTGACCCTCGGGTCGAAACACAGTGCCAGGCATCCCTGGCAGCTGGTAGTAGCAGGATTCTCTGAGACACTGAGAGAAGCTCAGCAAATATGGCAGTTGTTTTTTTTGTTTGCTTGTGAAAGCGATGTGAGGCGGAGGCGAGCGACTTATGAATTAATTAAATATTTACTGGCTAAACATTGGCGTTTTATGCTCCCGGCCCGAGCTGTAAGGTCGAGTCCGGGATGGAACGAAACTGTACCACGTGTAGGGTATGATGTGTGGCTACGGGTTTGGGTTTGGGATCGTTCGTTGCACCTGGAGACCTGGAGACCTGGAGCGGGGGACCAACGGAAGGTCTTAACAGTTTCCCTTGCGCCTTGCTGCGTCATTTTGATGTTTTATTACTTGACTTCCGCTGGCCGCAGCAAAATGGCTCCTCAGCAACGCATAATGGTGCGGAGAGGGAGAAAAAAAATGAATAAGGTGTGTAAAATGAAACCGACTCGGCCCGCTCCTCGTTTGTATGTATTCTATGGAAAGGCATTAACGTGCCTGCAGCTCCTGCAGCTCCTGCAGCTTGTCTTACTCCTTCGCCTCCTGCTGCTGCTCGCACACCTTGTTGTAGTTTCCAAGAAGTAACCTGCTGCTCCCTAGCCCGCCTGACCCACCTGGTCTACCTACTGGGTTTATGTTTTGCAGCAAATTACGTTTTAATGCCAGGCCAACCAAGTTTTATTGCAACTTTTGTTGCATTTCTGCTAAATTGAATTATGTACACTGCCGCGTTCCATTCCCTGCCGTGTGCTGGCAGCGGTGGCAGCGCAAAGAATGAATCAGCGGGGTTGGGCCATAGCCGGAGGGAATGTTTGCCGAAGTCAATGGCCCGACCCCCGACCACCGACCCCATTCGCGATTTGTGCATAATTTGTAATCCCCTCGAATGGGCAAAAGACGCGATGGCGTGGTCCGAGCGAGCTGCAATAAATCTTGGCACTTCAGGAGCTTCCCGTTTGCGTTCAAAGTTCACGATACCAACGATAACTCGATTACTGGTTAAGTCTTTTCAAATGCTCATCGAAAACTAGGGTAGGGCTTGTGGAATTCTCTCATTTAAATTATATTTTGTGTCTTGTCTGTCTTCTTTTCCATCACCTGTACTCCAATTGCGATAACTAACGACATAAATTGCTTAAATTTAGCACACAAATTTACTGAATTTTCCCTTAATTTTTGTCATTTTTCATCCTTCAAACCGACACTTGTGGCAGAAGCTGCTCTTTTCCTGCTTAAAAATCAAAACTGATTCCACGAACAGGAAATTTTGCAACCTGATTGGGAAGAGCTTTGAGGTTTTGCACTCACCTTTTCTGCAGGAATTTGCGCTTGAACTCGTGCAGCATTCCGCCAGCTCCCGCTGCGGTGGCATCGTAATCATTGGTGTTGCCGTAGCGGATCTTCTGGTGCTGCTGCTGCAGCAGGTGGCGATTGGCCACACCAAAGTCCATCTGCACATCGACGATGAGGAGGAGGGTGAGCAGCACTAGCGTGGCCCCCAGGCTGATGAAAAGCCTCTCCTTCAGCTTCATAGTACGCAGGACGGCCATGATGGAATTTGTGGGGCAGCTGTTGCTGCTGCTGCCACTGATGGCGTCTTTCTGATTAAGAGCTCTGATTGTTGGTGCTGCAGCCTTTTCACTATTCCAATCGCTGGCCCCGAAACTATTACGCAGCCTCGACAACCAGCCCAGGCTTTTCCCAGAACCTAATCCTGAAGCTGCGGCTGGTGCTGCGACTGGTGGCTCACTGCCAGAGGCGTCTGCGGGGCGTGGTGTGCGCACTAGGCGCCGCCTGATAATCACACGTCGTCGTGGCGATACCTCCTCCTGCTCCGAATCTGGCTGCGAGTCTGGCTCTAGCTCTTGTGGCTGTAACTTCTGGTCAAGAGTTCGCTCTCGCGGCTCGTACTGCTCTAGGGCGTCATGCGAGTATCGGCGGCCGAGGGCATCAACTGAAGCGGAAGCGCCAACAACGGTTGCCCAGCTATTGGCTTCGCTCTTGTTATGATTATGCAAATTGGCTACGCCTATTTGTTCAGCTGATAACTGGCCAACGAGCGGACGGCAGCTCGGGTGGAGGAGGGGGCTATCGTATACTCCGATATCAGTGTAGTTGTTCCAGTTCGAGTTCGAGTTGTTGCTCCAATATGCCGACTGCTGCTGAACCCCTGCCTGTGGTTCTGCCTGTTGTTGTTGTTCTTGTTGCAGTTGCAATTGCTGCCGATATCGGAATCGCTGCAATCGCTCTGCTAGCGGCGTGGACTGCGCTGCCCCTGCCGCTGTGCGAAGGCTGTAAAGAGAGCAACAGCAAACATATTTTTATTAGACAACCCAATGGAAAGGCAAGAAGTGCTTGGAGGGGACGTGCAGTTAGTGCTGAGAACCATCCTCTCTGTTCTCTCTCTCTTGCGAAATGCAATCAAAATCGTTCGTTGAAGAAATTATGGCCAATGCGATTCGAAATGATTCCAAATCAGGGAACAAACAAAAAGAAGTCAAAGGAAATACGGCAACATTTAATAGAGATGGCAACACACAGCCACTCTGCGGATACCCATTAATACGAGGGGTCGACTATGTTTTTCCATAAAATCAAAGCTAAACATTTCGAAATCCTTTTCACAATAGAGTCAAATATGAGGCCACTTCAAATGCTTGCAACTTTATGAGAATGTTACTCCACTTTCTCTCTCTCTGTCTAACCATAAAAAACATGAAAAATATGAACCGTCCGGACATTTTGCAGTTCGTATTTTTTGCTTCTGTTTATTCATAAAGCGGCGTCAACGACGACGGCAGCGGCGTCATGGCATCCGCCATGTTGACTGCCACCGGAAATGCGACAGCAACCATTTCTTTTTTCCTCTTTTTTTTAGCTACTGTTATCGTTTGCCGCCATTGCTGCTGCTGCCTCTGCTGTTGTAGGGGCTGCCTGCCATCATGTTGCCGGTTGTAGTTCTATTTTATTGTCTCCATTTTTATTGTTCATGTTTTTTGCTGGCTGCAACTGCTGAATGGTGTAATGGTAACTGGCCTGCACGCTGCACGAGCATATTTTTCATGCTACTCGACTCTTTTCGAGTTTCCTTTCCCGTACCCTTTTTCCCGGCTATTCGAAAATTTGAATTGTAACTATAACAGGATGGACGAGCGCAGACCAGGACCGTTGTCTGTTTGGAGCCGGTGTCAGAGTTAACGATGCTTGTGGCCCCCCACACACACACCCACACACACACATGCGGAAGAGTCAACATTGGTTATTAGGCCGCCTGACGACCAAAAATTTGTTGGTCACTGGCTGTGCCGTTTCCCCTGCCAAAGGCTCTCTTTCAAAGAGCATTAAACGCTGCTAACATATTCCTAAAGCTCCCTTTGATTGACAGGCAAGAAGACAAGAACAATCAATAGAGAGATGGAGAGCGGGGAAGGGCTGGTGCTGCTTTCTGCTGACGTAGCACATGGGTAAAACTTGCACTTGCTCCACAAAATTAAATGTCAGATTCTGCAGTTTAGTATGCAAAATTGCTGATTAGAGTCGGCAGGCAGGCAGACCGACACAGCCACACAGGCAGAGTTATCAGATAGACACGAGCAGATAGATACTCGCACATGAAATGGCAGAGAGGCGGCAATAAATTGGCAAACAAAAGGCTGAAAATGTCTGAGAAAGAGCCACGTCAATCAATTCACATATCAAGCCAATTTTCTATGCAGGTCTCTGCCCTTCAAATCTCTCCCCACTCAAAATGTTAAACTCGTATCCATGACGAGGTGGTTTGACAGTCAAACAGCAAAGGCTGGAGATGTTCTTGGGGCTGGGGTTGGGGCGTTAGAGGCACGTCACAAACGCTTTCACAGACCTGTCTGTGGAGATGTCTGGCAACAAAGCCGACCAGAGAGTGTTGCCAACATCACTGGGCAGTCTGCTGCACAGCATACACGTAATCCAGCGCGAAGAAGGAGGAGATTTAGTAGAAGAGTAACGCAGGTCTCTGCTTCCCTATCTGTCGTCGAGGAGGTGATAAGAGCTGGCAGCGGGAGCAGCAACCATGGCAACAGCAACAGCAATAGCAATTGCTGTCGTCGCACACTCGATGTTGCTGTTGTTTTTGCCGGCTGATAAAATTGCTGCGTTGCATTAAATTAAGCTCATGCGGTGTGTTTAAATGCCACACTATCGCCTGGCAGAGGGTCTTGTCTCTGGAAGTCAAGTACGAGGAGAGCAGACAGTAACAGCAAAAGATACGAATACACAAACACACACCAGCAATGGCATCGTTTTAATGCAATTGCTGACAACAGCAAAGGCAGCAGCAGCAGCAGCAGCACCAGAACCGCTGCTACAGTGAGTGACAGCAATTTCCTTTCCCACTTGCGCTTTGTTTTTATTAATCAGACATACAGAAGCAAAAAAAGAAAATAACAAGAAATAAAACAAAAAAATCAGCAGAAGGGCAAAAGAGTGCAACGTAATGTCAGCAGAACAGCGGGAAAGAGCGACAAAAGTGCACGGGAATGTCTATAAAAAGTTTTCCATATCATTAATTAAAGTTGCGAATTCTGTGTAATTGATTTCCGCTCACAGAAAGAGAAGAGCGAAAGGGAAATATGCGTGGGAGAACTATTCTTTTGGTATGCAAAACACTATCTATATCTGCTATAAATTTGATAACCAAAGCAAAATAACATCCTTAAGTTCATTGGCAATCAACTTCCGGAAACATATCAGCCTCCCGTAAAACCTACCGTAAGTGGAGCATTTCTAATCGCGGCTTATTTCAATTCACTTATCGCCACAATCACTGAGCCATAAATCCAATTCACTTTCAATCAAAGTTGACAAATGCCTTTCCGCTACCTTTCTCCCGCTCAATTAGCGGTGAGCCCTCACCAAAAGTCAATGAACTGCATAGGAAAAGTAGCGTTTTATACACGAGTATTGTATTGTCCAGCACTTGAATCGGATCCCCGGATACCCAGTCTCCATCTCTCTCTCTCTCTGTCTACTTTGATATGCCATGCATGATTGGGTTTTGGGATTTCCTCGACTTCCCTCCCTAATTGTGTTCCCAAAAGTGAATGCAATGCGTAACCCGCTTCGAACCTCAACGCAATGCAATGCAGCTCGACTTGTGCTCGACTTTGATCCATTCAAATCAAATCAGTGATTGTGCAACATCTGGAAATGACACGCTTAATGCATTTTGCACAAGCCCGCTCAGCTCTGCTTTGCGACCCTGTTGCTGGTTTTCGCTTTTGCTCGGGGCCACGCATCGATGCAGTCCGAGAATGTTGCTGCCCATCGCCGACAAAAGACTCGACTTATTGATCGGTTACGCCAGCTAGCTGTTGCCACGTCCTGGTAACACCATGCAAACCGCTCTGCACTTGAGTTGTCAACAGAAAAGCGCCAAAGAAGAGATCGAATCGATGGATACCCTTGCCAGTCAATAGCTAAATGGCCAGCCGAAATCTGATTCTAATCTGACTCTACTTGAATGTCACTCCAAGGTGCAATAACATAAATCTCTCAATCGAATTGTTAGACTCTCTGCTAGAGCATACGACAAATTAGATGAGCACAAGAACAAGCACCCCCGTCTCTAACGTGGTTTGCCTTATCGACCCACCCAATCGACCAAGCAATCAATCCAGCTGCAATTCGATATGCAAATGATTGGCAAACTGTTGCAGTGGCAGTTGCAGTGCCATTCCACAATCGCATGGAGTGTCAAGGTTAGTTTGGCTTACATATTTGGTTCATTTACATGGCGGCAACGGCATCCAATCTGAGGTGGATTCCATTCCATTTGCGCGTTCCCTCGTCCTCGTCCCTCTGTGGGACAATCGAAGCGCAAAACTTAAGCAAATTGTCAGGGGGCGGCGTTAGGATTGGAAGAAAACACAGACGAAAGCCGGGGAATAATGCAGTTTGGTTAGTAGGGAGCCTTTGCTGCTGAGGCATTTCTGGCTTTTGCTTTTGCTTTTGCTTTCGCTTTGTGCTCTGGCCCTTTTGTCAATTTACCTTTGGCTGTGCAAACTTTCGCGCTGCTCCCACTGGTCCCTTGGTTGCTGCCACTGTTGCTGTGGCTGTTGCGGGTCCAGCAGCGGCAGCTTATCATCATCATCGTCTTGGGGAGCAAACGCAGAAATGGAAGCTGTGGAAACATTGGAGAATCTTCCATGCTTCTCTTGCCTCGGCAACGTTGTTCTCAGGTGATTCAATGCCAGCGATTTCTCAGCAGATTTGCCCCAGGTCATTTCATTACCAAAGTCAACAGAAATGTCCTGTTGCAGCTCCATCTCCATGTCTAGCTCCTGCTCCGTCTGCTGTTGCTCGCTGTTAATACAATTTTCCAGCTGGCTCGTTGACTTACAGTTTTTGTGTCCACCACCGTGGGATTGGGACTGGGACTGTGACTGGCATGGAGACCAAGAGGGTGTAGGAGTCTGCTTCATTGCCAATTCAAATGCGCTCTGATGCCAGCCATTGTTGGCCCTCCCTGGTATAGCAGCTCCCGGCAGCTCGTCATGGCCTGCATTGTCCTGGCCATAGACGTTGACGCCATTGCATTGTTTTACTGCTGATTGATTCGCAGTCATTGCCAATTGATTTATGCCCAAGGCGACCGAGCCGCTGCGCCCCCTGCCCAGCCGCTGCATGTGGGAGCCTTCGGTCTGGCCATCATTGTAGCCATCATAGTCATTCGCATAGCCGTCAAGACTGCCATTCCCATTGGTTTTCCTGGCCAGCTGCCCGGTGGAGACTCCACGCAGCGACTCCTTCTCCAGGCTGGCCCTCTGGAGGGACACTGTGCTCTGGCTCCGCTGTCGCTGCTCCTTCCGCTTGGCCAACTGTGCCGGCGATGGGGCGAAGAGGTTCCGCATGTTGGCATGGCGTTGGCTGACATCGATTTCGCTGCCACTTGGCTTAACCTACAGATTGATTCAGATAATTGTACGAGTACGAGTACGACAAAGTGGGGGAAAAACGGGGAAACAGAAATCTTTCTTGCCTCCGACATCCAATCGGTTTTAAGGGCCAAGAAAGGTCATGCTCAAGGAATGCATCAAACGAACTTCTTTTTTTTTTTGGGGTTAGTAGAAGCCAACGAACGAACGCAGGAAGAATGAAATGGAACCAAACAGTTGTTATCTTAATGCTAAAACCAACAATAATTTAAGCCATCAACTCAAACGGCAACGAAACTCAACGAAGTGCATGGGCCAGAGAGAGAGGGAGGACAAACGGGGAAGCAGGAAGGACAATGGCCCTTTCATAATCGGATGAAAACAATTCTGGAGTGCTACTTACACTCATCCTCGAGGCGAGTGACATTGAAGGAAGTGCAGAACTGGGATGGACAGGAGAGAGCCAACTATGCAGGAGAGCTGCTTCCTGGCCGAGCCAGAGAGGGTCATCAAGTGGATGAGATGCTTGGTTGGTTGGTTGGTTGGTGCCACTTTTCTTTTCTTCGCTGAGTTTTCTCAAAGCTGGATCAGTCTATTCATGTGTGTGTCTGTGGGTGTGTGTGTGTAAAGCGCACTCCCAAAACACACAGAGCCACATGGGAAAAAGTAGAAGAGGGGCACACAAAAGAGTAGCACAAAGTGGAAGAGGCATGAATGAAATGAGAGAAGAGCATGAAAATTTGAAACGTTAGACAGATTAGCATAAGCGGATAATTCGGAAAAACCCACACACACACACATACACAGCAGCAGAAACAGACAAAGCAGGAAAAGCGGAAAGAAAATCCAAAAAGAAACGAACAGCATGTGTGAAGCATTTAAGTGCTGCTGTTGCTGTTGCTGTTGCTGTGAACGCTGATGCTGCTGAGGCATTAGGCTTTGGGGCAGGCGCTTGAGACGGGGGGTCGTCAAATGGGTGCAACTCAAGGCCACAACAATCCTTCCCTTCCGCACACCACCGCCCCAAAAAAAAAAAAGGAAACTAAAGCAAAGCTCTTTCTTTCAATCCCTCTATCTGCTTGAGGTTCTTTCCACTGGCTGAAAGCACTGAATGCTGCAAGCACACTGCCAGAAACGAAACACTTAAAAAACAGATGAAATTGCTTTAACATTTTGAACTTTCATCAAATGAAGTTTGATTTTCAAGCAAATGTTCGCATTCCCTCCCATCGTTTATGTAGAAAAAACAACAGAAATCTTCCCTCTGGGTTTGCATTCTTTCCCACAAAAAACTGTGTGCAGAAATATGCTGCAATTTTCTTGAAGTACAAATACCTATTTCCATGTTTGCCAAATGCCAACAACACAGTCAGAGGTGGATATGCGTGGAAATGTCGAATCAATGCTAAACGACAGAATGTCATGGGAGATGAGAAGTTAAAAGGTGGCCATAAAGCTGATGTTTGACTCTATGTTAGACACATATGAATATAAATATTTTGATATTTACAATCCAAACACAAGGCAAACAAATAGGAATACAAAAGTCAACAAAAAATGCATAGAAATAAAAGGCAATAAATGAGTGAAGCTCTATTTTTGTTTTTTTTTTTATAGAAATACAAATACTTGTAAGTATCTGCTTTAATTTTATCTTTAATTTCTTTTAACGTTTTGATTTCACTTTAATAAAATATACACCACTAGAAATAAACCAAAGCGGAAGAGCAATGGAGTTTTCTGTTAGGGAAAATCCTAGCCATCCATGATATTTTCCTAGCCCTTTCTCAGCAAACATTTGTCTCCAGCTGTTCTCTCCCCCTCTGACTATCGCTTCTTGGCATTGACATTTTTCAGTTGCATGCAACCGCTTTCCATTTTTTTCCTTCAGCCTTTAACCGAGCTTCCAGCTCCGTATTTGTGGTTTTTTTCCCTCAAAAATAATCAAAAGGGGTTGAAGGGCAGACACACACACACACACACAAAAGCAAAACGAGGAACAAGAAAAGAGAAGAGAAAACCAGTGCGAAAGGCGGTGATTCCTTATCTGATCCTGCGTTACATCTGTTTCGTTTGAGAGAGATTCCCTGAGAGCGACAGAGAATAGATAGAGAAGACAGAGATACAGAGAGAGTGAGGGGAGGAGCAAGAACATCTCACAAAAAATTGCATGTCAAGTGAAATTACTTGTTTGCCAAAGAGGAACGAGAGGGTTCAAACTCATGAGGAATGTTCAGGGTAACAGGAAACGGAAACGGGAGAGGGACTGGGAATGTGAATGTGGATGGGTATAGCTATGGGGATACGGCTAGCAATGACAGCTGCAGCACTCTCACACACACAATGGAAGAGTGAGAGTAAATAATCCTGCAGGATGGAGCAACAACAATACGCCTCTTACTCATGTGTGTCCTGGCTGAGACTTTGATATACGCAGACGACACTTCGATCTGCCCGGTAGATGTATACACAGCTAAGCACGATAAATTGAGATGAATGTCTGGCATGCAGCTAAGTCTCTCACTTTCTCTCTCTCCCTCTCTCAGCCACTCTACATCCATCTATATCTGTCCCTGTATCTATCCGTCTATATGCTATGGCGCGTCCTGACTTACACTTGACACATTTCCCATTTGAATGGAAAAGTGCATTTGCCTGTTGGACTGTCTATCTTTTGTGTACAAGTCCGAGTACTTCTTTATTTCGGGGGCGACTTTAAGGTACTCTGCGGCATTTATGTCTAGACTCTAGACGTGTGTGGCGAATCGTGCGGCTGTGATGGCCTGTGTGGCTATAAATATTTAAAAATCTCTTTCATTGCATGTGGGCCATGAAAATGATTCCTCTACCCAGCACAACCCTCGACACGACTGTAAGTACGATTAAAATGCAGCACGCATTGGGCCTGCAATTGCATTGCATAATTAAAGGCGTTCTAAAGGGGTTGTGCGGGTGTTGGCGTGGGGGCGAAAGTTGCCATAAAATATTCATTTAAAATGCAACACGCAACACTTTTGCAATGACGCATTTTTTCGCCCACTCCGACCACGCCACACCACCCACGCATATAATTGCGGCCACTGCAATTGTAAATGTCAGGGGGGAAGCAGGAAAATTTGCATGCCGATGACATGGCCCCCAACTGGACGTCTGGTCGCCACAGGGTTATTTCCGGATATATTCAGAAAGCGGGGGAGCGATCTAATCCCACGCAGCACATGGCCTGAGGAACCCTGCTGACTGACTGAGTGACAGACAGACAGTCAGCTGTGACGTGTGTGCGTGACTGTAGCTGTGTCTGCATATCTGCATATCTTTGGCAATAACAGGCGTAACAAATAAACCAACAAACAGGAACTTACCGCAACTCAAACCACAACTACAGCTCTCCAGCCAGTCTCCAGTCTTCGGCTCCGCCTCCAGCTTCCAAAATTGATTTTACCTGAACTTCAATCGTATGCAAATTCAATTGGTTTTTAGTCAACTGCAAAATAGTTTGTGGAAAACATTTTCATTAGCATTTTCGTGGCATTAACAATGAGGGGAGAATTACTTTGCATAATCAAGGTTAACTGAAGGCAAACAGTTGGCCATTAGGTGATTGAAAGACAACAGGACATGAGAAGAGTAGTAAGGCGATGAGCTCAGAGACAATGCCAATTGATTGCCATTCAAAGCTGTGCCTGTGCATGCCGAAGGAATTGGCTGGCATGTGTTTGATTATTGATTATATCTTCTTAATAGTGCGCCATGCCATGAAGCAGCATCATACAAGCCCACATAATGCACAAAGGTTGTACGAGTAGGAGTCGAAACAAAAGGAGTCAAGCCACAGATGTTGGCAGCAGCCGCAGCTGCTCCGTCATTAAGATATCCACTGATAATAAGCCACACATTAACAGGCAGTTGCAATTTAAAAGGAAAATCAAGTAAGACATACGTTAACGTTTACCCCTCAGTCCGACGGACGGACAGAAACTGATTCCAGGCATTCGATCCATTAAAATTATGCACAATTATCCAATTCACTCGACCGGTGCATGCTCGAGCGGTTGTCATGATTGTTGCCTCGGCCATTGTTGTCTTTGGTCTTTGGTTATACTTTTATTTTTATCCAAATTTATGGCATCAAGTACTGCGATCCACTCACGTTTTCCAACAGCCTCCAGACGGAGTCAGAGATTATGAGGCCGCCCCAGGCCTGGGCCTCGTTGGACGCTTTGCAACCGAAAAGGGAAATTTTCACGGTGCTCACGTAATTGAATTGCAGCAGTCGGGCTAAATTGGCATTTATTATAATAAAAGCAAATATGCAATTTTGCCTTTTCACTCGGCAGAAAATAAATAAACGGAAAAGGAATAACAACCAGAGGAAAGGTCTGGCCAAGGCTACGAGCAAACGGCTTGAGAGTGGAGAGCGCAGTAAGTAAGCCAAATGGGAAAGTTATTAAATAATAGACGAGACTCCTTTAGGTCCGAGCCTTCACTCAAGTTCAGACTGATGCCCTGGAAAATTCAGTCGAAAAGCCATCATCAATTGAAACGAAACTCAGTTTCTGCTGCTGCTGCTGACCTACATTGATGGTTATTCATTTGTGTTATTTCTACGCCTCATTTTTCTTTTTTTTTTGGAATTCTGCCCACAAATCAATCACGGAGAAATTCAATTTAAATAAATATATGTACAGTATCAAAAAACAGACGGAAAAACACATATAAAATAAAGGAAAAATAGGCAAAAAAAACCCATTCTCCATGAGCTTCGAGTTAAGTGGAAAAATATCAAATTAATAGTATAAATATTTCTCTAATTCGCATAAAAACCAAACAGGGATTTTGGGTTTTTGCGCAATAATTAATCCATAAATTAATATTATTTAAATATACTGGTTGTAAATATGTTTAAATCGCTGCATTGCCATCGTGTGAATTTAATTGTATTATGACTAAAAGCCGTTGCACATTTAATTAGATTTTCAACGGATTAGGTGTAGCCATTAATTGCGGACATTTTTCACCCAAATAATGACAAATGCTTTAAAACGCTTTCGAATCGGAACTCAATTAAACTCTCTGCGTTTCTCAGCCATCCTTAATTTTGCTGTTCCTTTGGCCAACATTCAATTTGCTATTCTCTAATTATGTGGTTGAACATTTTGGTATATTGAAAGCAATTACGCTAAATAATTGCAAATTCCCGTTGCGTGTAGGTAAATGTTCGGGGGAACACTCGTATGTGGCAAGAGGCAACTAACAGACAACATACCAGCCATCCTGCCTCCCTTTAAGTCCCTCTACCTTTCCCCTTTTCACACTTCCTGTCTCTCTAAGTGACGTACTGTTCCTGTTTCACGGTTCACACGGTTTACTGGATACTCTTCTCTCGGATATTCGTTCAAGAAAGGTTTTCATTTTTAAGGGTATTTGCCTGTTTTCTATTCCTTTATCCTATTTCTCTCTTTGGTTTCCCTAATGACTGCGACGCCGGTTTCAAATTCAATGGCAAAAGGGGCTGTCGATGTCTCTGTCGCTTGGAGGGGACAGACACTGGAGCTGTTGATGTTGATGGCGCTGCCATGGAACAGTTAACGTCAAGTGCCAAATCTGTTTTGCAATGCGCCAAGCAATTTCCGCATTTAATTACATTGATTACCCACGAAGCCAAAGAGCGGCAATCGCTCCGTCCCTCCCCCCATAAATGGCACCCATTTTTTGCCTTTTTCCTAATATTTAGAAAACTTTCGCATCAGCATTGAACTTGAATTTGCCACATATTGCTGTTGATGCGGCATGGTCGAGGCCTCCGCTTTGCTGTGACAATGCCCAACGAGCGTGTCATTGCTGTTGAATGCCTCCTGTGGTGACAACATTCAACACTTTCATGCTCCGGCAGTGCAAAACAACAACAGCAAAAACAACATGTTTCTGTCAACACAATTCGGTGTTTGTTGCAGCAATCGTAATGATAATAATTGTGGCAGCTGTAAAGCTGCAATGAAACAAACAAACAGAAAACAACCAACAAAAAATTGAACAAAATCCATTAACTTATAATTTTCTGCTATGCTGAACACAATCCAGAACTCGGGGCTCTGGCAGAGCCTCTGCTTTTGCTACTGCTGCTTTTTCCACTGATTTTCCCTGAGTGTTCACTTTGTTGTCGTTAAGCCAACACATATACGATCCAAAAAAAAGAATCAAATTGCGCGCAATTTTACGGGAGAGCGCATTTTGGCCCAAACCACCCAGCAACACCCACTCGGCACCACCCACGGTAGTAGCACCCACTCAGCCTCACACCCACCATCGTAGAGGCAACGGAGGCACGTATGCGTGAAATATTGTGCAAACAACAACCCATACAATAGCATCAGCTGCAACACCAACAAACACTGCAGCAGCATTTAAAACACATGCTGCCACAAAAGTTTCCTCTTCTGAAAAGTATGAGAGCCGAATTGTTAGATACTTTAGTAATTTACCCATATATAATTTCGAATAATTAAGTAGTAATCTTCTCGCACACTTCCCTAAGCCCAAAGAACTCGAATATCCAGAATCTTCTTTGTACTCGTCACAAAATGCCGCTCAAAATCAGAGTACCCAACGCAAGAAAAGGTGCAGCAGCCTGACTGACTCATTGCAGATTCAACATTTAAGTGCATCGTCGTTGCAAGTCGGGAAAAATCTTCGTAACAACTAGGGTGAGGGGAACTGCGAGAGGGGGTGAATAGGGAAATATATGGTAGACGGAACTCGTTTGTAACCGAAAAATAAAATTCACACGGCTCCTCAACCGCTCGTTGTTGCCTGATTATGGGAAACAGTCAAAACGGGTTTGATTGTTGTCGTTGTTTCGGTTGTTGTTGCTTTTGTTTTGGTTTTGGTGCTGTAGTTGTTTTTTGAGGTAATTTAACTTTTGCATGCAACGGTTGCTGTTCAAATGAGAGTACAACAATGATATAGTGGCTATTTATAGATACATTTCCATTGTATATGCGATTGTAAATCTTTACAGTCTATTCAAAGTTATTTCCCTGTGAATATAAACCAATTATAACCAAATAATACTAAACTAATTGCATTGAGTCATGGTTTATTTAGGTTCTAATCCTATTTAAACACGACTTACATTTTGGCTCTGATCTAAGCTTCAGTTGTAATCAAATGAATCCAACATTTAACAATAAGTGACGTAAAGGAGCATACATCACATGCCATCAAATGATGGGTAATTGACTCCGATGTATCATTGTCACCGCCCTCTAAAATGATTGCTACACCGGAGCCAATTTGTGTTGATTACAGTGGACTGTATCTCAAATCAATCATTGTTCTACAACTAAAATTAATATTCTAGGAAGTAGAGCTACTCAGAAAGAGCTGAAATTATAGTAGACCTTTTGAGAAGTCGTTGAACTAAAGCAAAGCAAACAGAATAGGTAATTGCCATACAATTAGAATGATTGAATTGGTTTTGCTCCTAAATAGAAGAAAATTGAATCATATTCACACTTGTGATGTTTATCAAATAATCGAATCAAACATAGCCTTGATTATTTCTTTTCATATCAAACTTCATCTCAATGCAGGCATACAAATAACACGATTTTGTAAGCGAAGCGTTTTGTCGGGTCTCGTGTTTGGCTTTATGCAGTTTTATGAACTGTAAATTGGTTAAATTACAAGCAATTATATATAATTCCATTGGCAGGCTGCAGCTCACACGGCTCGCACGACTCACTCACTCGAGCAGCCGTCAAACGCATTTTGTCAGACAATTTCATTAACAACAATTGCCGCCAGGTTCCCTGGGGGCTACGGAGTGTGTGTGTGTGTGTGTGTGTGTGTGTGTGTGCATAACCACTTCATTTCCATTAGCCATACAATTTGATTAAGCTCCGAAAGAGGGGCAGACCACAACAGCACAACTCCAATTCCGCAGGCAGATTACAATAATTTCTTTATCAAAGCAAACAATACGAGGCACACGCACAAACACGCAACAATAATAGCAGGGTTGAGGCAGGCCCAGGGACAGGCCCAGGGACAGGCCCAGGGCCAGGGCCAGGGCAATGGGGCAACAACAGAAGGCTTAAAGGTCGTTGCATGTTGAACAACAAGCAAAAACCCTAATGCCAGAGGAAGGAATGGGAGCTGAGGGGCAAAAGTTGTGCCCCAGAGATGTATTGGTGGATGGTGAAGCTGGAGCGGAGAGACGTGGACAATGACAACGAAACGGAAACTAGCGGAAATCATTAGAGTCTGCACAAATGACTTCAAGATACTTTTACTACGGTGGCCCACAAGCAGTTTTCGCCTTGGATCCGCACCGTGGTCCCACACAGAATCCACGGCAGACCCACATCATAACGCAGCAGAACGGGGCAAAATGCTTGTCATAGTCGAAATGGGAGCCACTGCCATGGACTGAATATTGAGTAGTTGGAAAGCTTTGACAGAGTTCGGACTGGTGTAGATTAT